GAACAAACCAGGCGTTGAGAATAGCATCGTCATGGAGAGAAATCGAATTTGATGGCTGTCTCAGCTGATTTCATCAAGTTCGGGAGTAACTTGATGGCAGTACTTGCGATAATCATTAGGGGCATTGGCTACTATGACATACTAGTTAAAAAGCGAACAACGTTGCTCGTCATGTCGAGTTCTAAAAGAGATTTTCGGACGATTAGCACGACAATCGAAAGCATTCAGCCTGGGTACCTGATGACAATGCCGGACGCCATCGCCGTGCGTCACCTACTCGTGCGTTGCGTCCATGAAAATATGGGGCGATCTATGCTCTAAATGGAACGACTCACAAGGCAATCGCAGGTATGTATATGGCTGCCCATGTAGTACAAGAAACTTGTGTACACTAAGTATGTAGAAAATAAAAGCGCGTGTTTCTAAATACATACAAAAAATGAATCACTCTTGCACCGGATTTGTTTGTAGCAGCTCAATAGATAGTTTCGGATACAATTGTGTTGTCCGTACCTGCGGGTGTGCTAATTTTTTTTGCCGAGTCTATGCATTATTTCTTCTAAAGTTTCCTCAATGGTAGTGTTCGTTCGGCGTCCTTGAGTGACTCTCCGCGAACCTGTCGGCACCCGAATTCGTTCAGTTTCGATGCGTTTTCTTAAAACAGATACGCCGAACGTTTTTGCCAGCCGTCTTAGCGAAGTGAACCAACTTCACAGAAATAGGAACGCCATATTGCTCATAGCCTTTGAATGCTTATTTTTCAAGTTCACCTTCACGCTCCAAAATTTGCCGCTTCAATTAATCCAAGCGGGCGATTTTGAATAACTGCCTATCCTCCTCCACCTAATTCGACTAATACAGAACTTCGAATAAAATGTGATTTTTTGCTACAGTATTTCTAAATAATTCGGGGTATTACAAGGCGTATTTTGATATCATTAATTTGCCGAAATTATAAACAAAAAAAAACCGCCTCGAGTATTGGCAGCATAATGCGAATTGCTAGATAAAAGAACGGTTTTTCATTTTCCTTTCTATCCCAGATGGTTTTTTGGGCGTACAATGTCGTATGACCGCCGTGCGTTTACGATGCGTAATGCAAACCGCGTTGCTCTTGTCAACGCAGTGGCAGTGAGTCCGCGTTTTTAGCATTCGAAATGATCTACATCTTAGTTTCTAACTTCGTAGCATTATGTTACACAAACTTTTCTTAAATTGACACTAACGTATATGATCGTTACTTTCAGCTTTTAAATTATATATTAAATGAGTACATTTCAGCCAATAAGTAATTATCCATGAAGCAAAACGGACAGACCGTAGAACTATGCGCATATTCCAATGTTAGAATCGTTTCAGAAAATACAATAGAAAGGGGCAATAGAAAAGGCAATATACAATCGGAATGAGATTGTTTACGATTTTTAGAAGCCCGGAGCTCTAAGACTCAATCAGAAGCTACTGTCCAGCTTTCAGTTTCATAATCATAGTAATAGTATTGTTTCTTACATATTTATTTATCAACTAGCATTTATTCTTATGTGCAGCATAAGTTGGATAGCAGTGATGCAGTATACAAAAGCAGGAAAATTTAATATACCAGCTTTTATGAAAATAAATGCGATAATAATCATCCGATAAAAAAATAGCTTTTATCAAGCTGATTAGTAGTGACTTCAAACATGATCGGTCTTTAGCCCATTGTATAACACTTCGAGCTCACCAACTCAACGTAACCACAAGCAACGTTCTCCTTTATAAGATTTCTATGTTTTAAATTAAGTTAAGCTGTTTTTCTGCCACTTTATTAGCGTCATACGTAGGATGTGACCAGCTGAACGTATTAGTAAAGGACACCTAGACACTGTGGGCTTCGTGTAAACAGAATTTACATGAATAGAACCAGATAAAAAGGTCAGAGAACATTTTTAGCTAGCCTCTATTTCGGTGGCTATTTACTACCATATATCCGTTACGTTTAATCTCAAACGCTACAGCCAATAACTTCTTGTGCTATTTGACCGTTACTGATATCGTCTTCACCGAACTTTTCGCACCTTGAAGAGCGCTTCCAGATGAACGCAGATGAAACTTCACGCTGAACTAATGCTGACATGAGGCTGGCTCATCATAAGATGAATTACACCTGTCTATTCTAGTAAAAAATTTTGCAACTTCGACGGTAGCTAACATTTGCGTATGGATTTAGCTCGTGTTGGACACTTTCTCGACAAGAGTTGTTTGACAAGAGAGAATGGCAAGAGGTACGATAGTGACTAAATAGAGAAGAACTGGTCGATTGGAAATAAAGAAGTCGTTTGAATTTTCGCGCCACTAGATAATTGCTTGTGATCCGCGTTTGGTTTGGTAAAAAGAATAGGACTTCTGTTACGTACAGGTAAAATTTCATAATAATCTGAAACAATATTGAGTTGTACAGTGAGACTGAATCAGAGAGACATTTATTAAGCGTTTTGTGATTTTTCCAAAATGGAGCATCGGGAGTGCATTGGACTTTGAGTGAAAAGTAAAATAAATCGCATAGACCTTCTCTGTCAGATGTGGCAGATTGACTGCAAAAGTTAGCCAGTAAGAAGTAAACGTGCTGGAGTCCATAGATGTCGATTCTCATCATTGAAGGTTTGTGACAGTGGTCACGGACGAGAACATGGAAGGGCAGCAACTCGCGCCTGGCAGCAGTCGAATAACCATAAAACAGTTAGCGGAAGAGATAGATTTCTCGAGGCTCATGTTATGCTATTCTACGGTGCAGGCACTAGCAGGCCTAGACACAACTTAAATGAATTTAAATCAATTGATTTCATTTTAATCGTCCCATTAGAATATCTAGAAAAATGATTTATTAATATTTCAACAGAGTCGTATTTATTAGCATCCATGGTTGTTTCTAGACTATACATATGAAGTACGTGTAGAGATAAAGTAAGTCGATTTTGTTGTTAGGTAAAATAATGGATATACATCCATATCCAACAGACGCTGCTTAACTTCAAGTCATACTCATTTCTATAATCTCTTTCAACCTTAAGTTAAGTTAAATGCTTTTTCAATTCTTCTATTCATTTTTTGTCAGCTTCTTCTGACTAACATCGTGTATTTCTAGCGTCTGCTCTAGGTTTCTCATCGTAGTCCGCAGACTTCACGGCTAACCCATACTTCATTAACCTTCACTATCTGACCTTCACTACCATCAACGTCGCCGCTGTATGTTCCAATTATTCTTTCACTGTATGCTGTTTATAAATCATTGTGTTCCTCTTTTTCTACGCTTCGTGTGTAACCCGGCGCCGCCAACAGTTACATCTCAGGCGGCTTCTCCTTGTTCGCTCTATATCCTCGCCTCATCATTTATTAACGGTCCAAAGTTCCCTTATCACGATGGCAGCTAAAAGAAAATCGTAGATTGATGTACGAAGAGTCTTCAGAAACTTCAGGGCTGTAGCTTTTGGGAGAAGTGGCCGAATGGTGTCGCTTGTCAGCTACCGTTATGATTGTTGTGCATATTGTTGGTGTTGTTGTTGTCATCGTTGTCATTCGTGTTGATGAAGCACTGCTACTCTGATCCAGTCTCTTTGATGTCGATAAAAGGACAGGTAGCAATAAGATGAGTGGAACTCTCCCGCGGCTAAATTGTTATTAAACGACCATTGATTCGACGATCCGACTCGTCGTTAACGTGACGGTTTCTTGCCTTGCTCGATGCCGGCGCGGATGCTGTGACGCTGCCCGTTAGCTCAGTCAGTCTTAGTGCTAACTGCAATCAAATACATTATAGTACAAATTCGTGCAGTAAGAACTGTGCTAAAACATAATCTCTGCCTAATTCCGTTCTGTATACAACAGCGATAGAAACTTAGACATATAAGCAAGACATTGCCAATGTAAGGGGCAGGTAGACGAAAAGAGCTACCAGCAATCATGGGAGCGGCGGCAACGACTGCGCCCACGAAGACGGCCTCATCAGTCGAAGCGGATGCCTCGTTTAGGGGCCTACATCGAATTACATTGCGATTACAGGTCAGAGCAGTCAACGCGGCCGGGGTAGCGGCAGCAGCAATGGTGTGGACACTAAAGAGGATATCGACACGCTGCTGAACCTAAAATGCAACGAGCCAACGTATGATGTATGTACATACATACATACCTGTTAGTGACCCGCCGTGAACCGTTTTTCTCTTCTACTCGAAGCTGCTAGGATACAGCCGGCAGTGCTGGTAATCGTCATTCCGTCAATAAGGAACGAAGAAGACGAGCAGCCTCATGGTGCTGATGATGGCGAAGAGGAACATCGATGGCAGGGCATCGTTAGCAGAGCTTCACACTTCGCCACGAGATCGAAGCGAGCAGCGCCCATTACACACGCAGCACCCAGGGATGCATTATTCGGGACTGGCGGTGGCATTAGCAGCGGTACCGACATTAATAACAGCCCCTAAAATATGCCCATTTGCCAAGGATGTATATATATAGTGGAACGTGAAGATCGAGCTGAGCTAACGAAGAACGTTCTTCATAATGTAAAATTTGCGACACGGTGTTGGTACTTCTTAGTTTGATATTACGACAGAACCCTAACCGTGCTAACCCATAAGGCCTATTATATATTGGAAGTTTATGAAAATACTTTCTTGCTTTGACAGTTAGATGTCCAGTAAGGTCTTTACCGAATATATATATATATATATATATATATATTCTCTAATCTTCTCTGGTGATTACTGTCGATCGTCGTATTGCTAACACGAATAGTATACATACCGTATGTCCAAAATGGTCAATAGTGTAGCGTAGCGTACGCATAGATTTCGTGAATCCCTAGAGCTAGCCTATTCTGGCATTAGTCAATGGTGGGGCGGCGTTGAACACGCCGCTAAGTCTCGTTTTTCTTCAACGAGCTGGGTGGAGATGTTCTTAAATTGTTATTATAATCGTCGTCAACTTGATCATTATTATAGTCGCCGATAACTTTTTTTTTTTAGAGAAGAAGAAGCAAGTGCGTAGGAATAGGCGCAAATAGCTTCAGCACGCCAACAGCGGTCAGCGATACAATAACGATTGAGAAGAATAGCGGAGATTCGCGCATTTTTCAGGGGTTGGGCAGCCCTCATGAGGCCGACGCAAGATCGAAAGGTGTGAAGTCTTCGCCAAAGGTGCGGAACGATGATCCACCGCAGCGAAGAAACAAGGGGGGCATCAATGGCGTTAAGTAAGACTAAGCTGCTTGCGGGTGCGGCATTGGGATGGAGGTGTCATATGGATGAGATCCTGCTGCTGTTTCTCATCAGTGTCTCTGTGATAAATCGCAACGAGGATGTGAGCCACAACGCTAACCTTAAGTGAATGCTGAAGGTTAGAGTTCCTGACGGGTGGTTCGTTATGGAAAAATTGCTAAATGCGTACACGTTATATTGCAAATGTTGCTTGAACAAAAAGCAGACTCGTCTGCTACAGGTGATGTTTGAAACGACACGGTATGTTAGAAACAATTAATAAAAGCGATGTCTTCTACAAAGATGTGTATAACCGACAAATCCGCGCGTTTACCGCACAGTTATTGGCTAGGGATGACCCTGCTAAGGACGTGTCGCGCGAGCATAAACTCAGCACACAGACTGCGGCTAAGGACAAAATCGTAAATGGCTTCTCGAATATTCAAGTGTACCTACTAGAAAGAACGAAAATATACTAAATAGAGCTACTGGAATACTACATAAACACAATATTCCTTTTAGAAATAATCAGTATACATTTATTTGTACAATTCCCATATTGACTGAATCAATACATTTATCCCGACCACCTTCGAAGCGCTCTACACCGTTCGTGATGTTCCCTGTATCCGACTTCAATATACGATCATTTCTATTTGTTACGCGCGCGATTATACTCCGTCACTTTTACATTTATGCGAGAATATGTGTTATTTATTTCTATCGTTTAATACAGTAATCTGACATTTATTAAATAATAGCTACTATTTTTGTGAAGATAGATGTCTACTTCTAAGAGAGTTTGTGTCTGAAGGCGCACCATACGTTAGGTGCAGCTCCCGTTGTGATCGTTAAGAGGTAGCCTACGCAATAGCTGAGCGTTTCGTTATCGATCACCACTCGTCTGATCATTGGCATCCTCCATTGATGTAGTACATGAGTAACTGTGTATGGAAATTCGTCGACGGGTCAGATCTTTTCGTGTTACATATATAGGAAGAACTCTCATGTATGCTTTAATTGAATCAAATTACGTAAAATCGAAAATCTGAAGTTGTTGAGAGAACTGTGGCTTTTGCTTTCTTCATAACTTTGGTATACGTCCTTTCAACGTAAGTGCTACCCCGCCGTAACTGCCTCTTCTTCGAGATAAATAACACTTTACGGTTTACAATCATTTGCTTCTGCCATAAAGCAATGAAAGGTCGTTGAAGGTGAAGATTGAAATTTTATTTCACCTCCAATCAGCGGTCGATTTGTTAGGATGATCTTTAAATTAGACTTCACTAATTTGTACGTTTAGTGCTTTACTAGCGAGAGCCCTGCTCCGTTTTCCCTACTTACAAATCAGTCGCCCATTTTTCCCAGTTGGATTGGCCATCTTAAGACATAGAATACTGGCTCGTTATTTGACCTGATCCACCTTGCTATAATGATATGTTTTGGCCGACGTTCACGTCTTGCCAAAGGCATTTTTCGAACCTTAATTCAAACAAAGGCTGTATTATGATTGTTACCACCATGTACATAGCGTTTTAAATGGCAGGATCAACATGTCAAGGAGTCATAAGGCTACACAAATGGCTTTTTCTTCCAGCAAAGCCATGCAGTGCCGACATCCATTCTAGTCGTAACTGAAGCTTGGTAGTTCCGTAACAGTGACATCTTGACAATTACGACTTAAGGTTTCTCCGCCACTTGTTTTCCTGCTCAAGAAACATAAAAATATACCTGTAGGATAGGTGTCTTGCCAGTCTAAATGTTTCCAACGACCGAGAAGGTTTTTTTTAACCATCTTTAGACTGTCAGAAATAACTGACCATACAATATATGTGCAGTTGTTCAACCGCAGACTCCGCTGCTGTTCAATCGCAGCAGTGACCGTTACACAACCAAATTTATTACTACTAAGTGATGCTTGTCAGAGTTGACAAAATTTCGCTCTTAAAAACAATCCTTCATTAATAAATGGACATGGTCCTTCGTGGCCTTATTACCAAAAATTCATGAACCCGTCGAGGATTGATCTCGAGTTTTAACACACTCTGTATTGCTATGAACTGTAATAACATATGATTATCAAATGCGTTTTATTTATGGGTCGCGAGATGTAACCTTATTCATGTCATAAGTTAAAAAGGGTTGTGCTTTTGGGAACAAAATTGTGGGTTGGCCAACACGGACAGTCGATGCGGAGGATTCGCTAAGCGTATATACTATTTGCAAAATGCTTCTTAATTGCGTTTACGTTTAGCTTCGCCTTCGTGTTGATACCAATCCATTTGTGATACTGTTGCTGACTAGTTGGTCGACGATGACTAGTCTCGAAAGACACGCTCAAGATTTGCGATGCGTGAATATATCTGGAATGAAAAAGAAACAGATTGATTTGTTTAGATGGAGGTCTAGGCGTTCCGTGACGGTGACGTCATGTAACTACCCGCTCCTACACGCCAATGTGAAGACATACTCGGAATAGAACGGAGATATCTAATAAAAATAACTGCTCATGCGCCGATGTTCCCTGTACATTGAACTAAATTGGTCTGACCATCTTACGTTTTGGAGATCGTTTGCAATCGGTATCAAAGTACTGCACCTATACGCGTTTACCTATGAAAAAAGGATAGGACCTATGGAAAATGCGCCTTGTGTTGAGGGGTCTTGAATATTTGGCATGTCCGCATCGACTTACATTAGTCCACTATTCGAGATCGACTTAAATGCGCACGCTGCTTTCTATCTTCCATTGCGTTACTCCTTAGAGCTGATCGGTCTGAAGGCCGTACTCTCCGAGGTCAAAATCGTTGCCTTACCGGAGCTCATAGGTGGTATACTGTAAGAAAAATCAGCAAAAATCGACACTGTGTATTACTACAACCCCCACGTTCGAACTCTCATTTATTCAGTTCATCGATGGCTTTGCCTAATAATCAACACATGTGTGATTAAGGTATTGGCCTACCTCGTTCAACTAGATGCGTTAATTTGAAACTCTTTTCTAATTCTTGTGTTTAGCTTTCTATCGTGTTATGGTTAGGCGGTACGTGCCCCCTTAACCACATTTGCCTATCTATCTTCGTGAGTGTAGGTTTCACGCAAAAACATAGATGGAATGAAGCCAACAACCGCTTCCCTACTATAGCCATCTAGTTTGTTTACATAAACATTAAACATATAAGAAAGATTCATCCATGTTAAAACTGTTCCACTGTTCGCCTTCCGTCCCCACTCAAACTTTTGAATTATTTAATTCGCAATGTCAGCTTTTGTTATAAGAGGCTCGTTCTTCTTAGAGCAACGGTAGCAAACTAGCACTACAATATAATGTCACCAATTTCATCCAGACCCCGCCTCTTTATCGTAGCTCATGTCTTCAGGCCGCCTCGGTCCTGCTACGACCGCCCGACTTCTCGACCGCGCAGTGACATATGAAGGTTGGGCGGGTGTTTTCATTGATCTGCCATCAGTGCGTTACTTGTAGGCGCAGCGGACGAAAGAAGAATCTCGTCTCTGTTACCGCGATGAGACCTAGGGAGTTAACTACCAAAGGGACATCCGATCCCTCGAAGTGTCGGACATGAAGCTACTTGTCACCGCACAGATCTATCGAAATATCGCGGTCTTCTATTGTACTATTATTGTATTAGTGTATGTAGATACACTAATACATACGCAAATATATAGGAATCCATGGAGGGGACTATCAGAAACAGCTCGATGGGGACGTGCACAGCTACTTAACACCCTCTCACCGGAGGTCTTCTAATCTCAACCATCACATTTGGCCAATGACACTTACTTGGTCGATGTGATTCGTTTTTTTCATCTGTGCCGTCGAAGGTGATAGCTGTTGGCGGGCCTGGTTCAATCTGTTTAGGACAATCAATTGCCGTTTATAGAAGAGAGAAAAAAGAACCTAGGGCGGGTGGAAAAGAAGCTCAGGACTCCAGGGGACTTCGAAACGACGCGGTTTGGCGAACCAATGTGTCAGAAAGTCCCTGCCAGTCCGCCCCTTACTAATATAGCAGTTATACGAGTAGCTAACAAAGTACAGATTGCTACGAGTTTCGTCGCAGTGATTCAATGTTGGGGCCCGTATTTGCCAACTCCAGGTGTGAAGGTAGCTTACATAGAATGGCTCATAGTCTCGCGATACTTTATCTGACCAGTGATGTACTGGTTTTTATGTGGAGCTTTTGATCCATGTCCATTGCGTGCCGGTAGTTATTGAGCATTTGGTTTCCGTTCAATAGAACGAGTATAAGAACGAAAGTATAAACTGCAGTATTTGTATAGGCAGTAACATGCTTGAATACCTTAATTAGCGGAAAAAACGAAATCAGTTTACCGTCACCTGAACGAGACAATCTGAGATGGCTGGGATAAAAGTAAAGCTGATACGTCCAATCAGATCAAATGAGTTGGAAATCAGAAACCGTAAAATGTGCTGAAGTCAATTGTTTCGTTGCAGACGAACCCATACTGCATAAACTGACCTTTTTTCCTTTGTTACGATTAAGCGAGACAAAAGAAAAGAAAAGGTACACAGCAGATATTACTTTTTGCTAACGTAAATCGTATCGTGTAATCGCTCTGTGCAGTCTTTCGGGACTGATCAGCTTTCTATAGAACCTCCGCAGCTGGTGATGTTATTTCGATGTGGTGCGCGTTTCGTAACCGTCCTATCCACGCCTCCCTCTATTATGGGGTGCTCTAATCCCGATACAATAAGTGGCTTCGGTCTGCGATTGGTTGTCCGACTTAACTTTTGCCTGCCCGTTTATTTAATACCAACAGCGGCGTGTATCTTCTATCGCTTTCTGGTCGTGTCTTCGTTCAGCAATTGGCAACATGGTGATTGCAGCTAGACGAACAAAATCGCAGGATTGATTCAGGATGAAGGCATTCCGACAAATGATAGTGCATGGTGATGTTCTGTATCACCTCACACTTCTTAGGTGTCATAGATGCCTCGGGTTCTAATGAGTCCTTAAGGTTTTACTCGTGCTCGTCTCGTTCCAAAACCTAACGTGATTGGCGGCGTAATGCCAGACAAAAGTGACACTAATCTGAAGCCTCTCAGATAAACTGCTACAGTTCGTTCAGGATCATGCGCGATCAGGACAATTCTTGTCGAAGTTGAATTATGGTCATTTTAACTTACCGTTTCGATCGCACAGCCAGTCAGGCATCTGGCACAAAAATCACAAATTGCAAGAGCACATCGAGAGAACCGTGTGAGATTTTGAAAGGATGAAGACGAGAGCCGTACGCCGCTACTGACAATAACAAAGCGGATTATGAAACGGGCTCGATCCGACTGCGGTAGGGTCGATTTGACTTAATACCCGTCGAATGTCATCTGTCCGCACTCGTTAAATAGCAAGGTGCAATGAGTATTCCTGAATATATATGTATAGCACGAACTCGTTGTGAGTACAGGAAATCAGGCTCTGCGAAAAAGGAAATCGGATTATCATCAATGGATAACCAAACCCTGTATCATCGCTACTATTACAGTGATCCTGACTTGCGCAGACCCCACTTTCAAGGGATCACCCCATCAGGGAGGTAGTGTTGAAAGGCGCTCTAGATATCTTTACGGGTCCTTTAGCGACTAATATTGACTTCTGGTAAGGTCAGTACGGAAGTGAAAAGAAATAATTGTTTAGTTCATAAATAAAAACTTCGTTCAAGCGTAATTCTACTACTGCAATTATTGTATGGCGGTAGTTTAAAACGCGGCGGCGTTTTTCGCAAATAGCTTCTGTTCGTCTTCATCTATACCGCCAATAGTTTCGCTAAAATGTACATACTGGACCATTACTAGGGTTTAAACGCTTATGTCATTGCCGAAACTTCGAGGTTATTTGAAAGTATTGGCTGTGCCTAAGAAGTCAAGGTATATTAACATCCTGCGAAACAGTAGATTACTGGAACTGTGAGATATACGCGATAGACTTCGCTCTTCTTTCTAGAGTATCGTCTGTCTGCACGAGATTGTTCCTTCGGCGATTTTTGAGCGCGTCTAAGCAGGTTAAATGGAATATCTGTTGGGCAAGACCAGGGTAATATATCGTAGTTGACACTCTAAAGGAATTACCGCCCGCTTTTTTGTGTTGCTGGTATTCGCGCACCCATGATGTCGAGCGTCTAAATATGATATCATGCCCTTTTCACCGTTGAGCCGCACTTCTCTATAGGTATGTTAAGTAGCACACCTATATGCTGTCGTGTCGGCCAAGTTGTTGTTGGCACACAATGACACAGACCTTAGCGCCTTTCTCTGCGATCATAGTGACGGCGGTATCCTTTGACAAACAAAAAAAAAAAAAAAAAAAAAAAAACTGTTTCCTGTAGACGGAACCGTTGGATCATCGTACGCTCGTAGTATGTGAACTAGTAAACAAATGACTTTTCGTTTGGTGTTTTCCATGGCTCGTTCCCACGTATCGAGCCGAAGAACAAGGCCTCATCAAGCTAATGCTCCATGTAATGCTCTCCGAGTTGCGATGATGGCATGAAGTGGCAATACGGAAGATACGAATGAAAATGAGACTTGTTCAGCATGTTTCTTTCGCTCGCACTCTATAAGTCTCCCTCCTTACGAGGCGTAGTCATCGACCATCGACTTAGATTTGAGACGTCCTGGGCCGGTGGAACAGTTCTGGAGGCGTGTTAGGCGAACGTGGAAACTAAGCGCTAAGTAGACAGACAAAATGGAACACTAACGCTATCGTTCGCTGCTTGTTTTGTCGCCGCGGAACCGCGCGCTGCTCTGTGGTGCGTCATTTGTAGCCGATAGTCCTTTCGATACTTTCTGCTGCTGCTGCTGGCAGCTATACGCTATGTTGGTACTTAGCCAAGCTAGAAGATTTCTAGCTGGCTAGCTAACAGGGAAACGTCGACACTGATCCTACTTAAGTTGACTGATGGAGCTCTGCTTCGCGCTCGCTGTCACACCCCTACTCCAATAAAGCTCCCGGTACTACGAAGATTCTATGCGGCAGAATGCCGCTTGGTCGCCAGCGTTCTCTTGTCGGCTTGTTTGACATGGTGCCATGAGGCTGGGTCTGTGGCCTGAACCAGTCACATGCGACAGGCAACCTCGGGTGAAGTCAACCGGGACTGAGAAACTGTAGCCGAGTGCACCGGAGATTAGAAATGAGGGGACGACCATGAGGGTGAACATTATTTTTAGCAAATTGTTCGCGCTAATGTTATGTAGTGTAATATAACCAATGAGAATGGTCCTATTCCCCTTGAAGGCTAACCATTCGTAGCCGTCGGGAAATAAACCATCTCAACCAAATGTATAGTGTCAGGAGAGTAATTACGGAACGGAAAACTGACCCGCCAGGATGGTAAGATGGTTACTCTATGAAACGGAAATTGTATTGTAATAAACTAATTGCAGTTGCTCATCTATTCGAGGCTAGCAGAGATCGAACAGGTCGACATATACAGTGCTATACTGTCTTTCGTCTGTCATCGTATACCTAGATAAAGATCTGAATCTCTTAGCAACCCTGGGACCTTCTGCCATCGTATAACTAAAATATAAATATTAGCTAAAAAACCAATACGTCAATATGTCGTTTATTTCTATTGCTATTTTTATCGATATCACAACAAGGGTTTTCTCTGCTAGCCGGACGCATGCTCTCGTCGCAAGCCGAAAAAAAAAACACTATAAATGGAAAAGCTATAACCGATTTTCGCTGTTGTCTGATCACCGTAACCTCATCGGGACACGGACAAAGAAAGCTTAACCATGTTTGTGCCATCACGATTACATAGAAAATCAATTTTTGTTTCTCGCAGGAAGTGCAA